GGGAAATCTGGTGTGAACACCAGATTACTTCTTTCTACAGCCTTTTAAATTATACACACATTTTGATACTGAACTTATTTCCCATATTTATTCCAACTTGAATGACCGGTCCCTCAAGGAAATTGGAAAATGACATCGAAAACAACAAATTTTGAAATTAAATATCCCGGTCAATTTTTACCTTACAAGAGTCAAACTTCCTATAATTTTATTTTTTGATAAGAAGTATAAAATTTTCCTAGACATCGGTACAGGAAGCGGCAGAAAGCATTAAAAATTAAATTTCGTCGTTTATCGAATATTATATTTTTTAAAACTTTTATATGAAAAATCATGAATATTTTCGTAGTTTAAAATACGTCTGTAAGTGGAAATATACTGGTTCCAAAATTGAACAATAGAGGACCGTTCTCTTTACGAATGATGCCAGGTTTAACAGCGATAATAGGCGTTATTTGATTTGGAAAGAACCTGGAAACCATTATCATCCAACAAACATTCTTGAAAGAGATGCATACGGAGGAGGCAGTGTTTGTATTTGGGGTGGTTTTTCTTTGGATAGAAGAACAGATCTTCATGTCTTTCCACGTGAATCCGTAAATGCTCCTGTAGAGATGGCATCCTAGATGCTTATGTGCGCCTTTATGCCGGAGCAATAAATGATGATTTCCTGTTACAGGACAACAATGCTAGACGCACAGGGCTTGTATCGCAGATCTTCAGCAGCAATTAATTCAGCACATGGAATGACCAGTTCGATCAACGCACCTGAATCCTATCGAGCATGTATGGGATGATTTGGGAAGACCGCTCTCATTCCTCTTCTTCAGACCCTTGCCACTCTTGCAACTGCTTTGCAAGAATAGTGGCTCTCAGTTCTTAAGGAATGGATAGCCCGCATAATGGATGGTACCACAGTATGTCCTGTATTACTATCATACTTCATACCGAAGGTAATTTTCCTATACCAAACTGATATATCTGATTTAGTCATTTTATATGCGAATTTCTATAGCACCATAATTGTCTGGTAATTTCTTTTCATATTATTTTGTACCTTACTATGCGTTCAACACTGTGGGTCAGATTAATTAAATTATGCATGTAACATTTTGAGTAATCGTCATGTTTGTGATTTTTCCTTAATTAATAATAATCGGTGTACATGAGTGAAACTGACAATTGCGAAAATAAAGGCTCGGTAAGGATTTTAAGTCAAGTAAAGGGATAGGTATAATATATATTATATATATAATATATATGTTTGTACTTCTGATTGAAATAAAAAAGGAAAGGTGCATAACTAGATGTTATCAATGCCATATACAAAATGCTGAACTGGAACGCTTGAGATTAAACTATGTGAAAAATCCAAGAAGCAAAATGTTTGCTTTTTTCCCCTCAAAAATTATTAAATATTTTCATGGAATTATATTAGGTGAACCCTTTAAAATTAATAGAACCAGACTCATTAAACCGTTAGGTGGATTTTCTTTTTATAGTAAATATTTTAAGTATGGAAATAGAAGTCAAGAGGATACGCATTCCGTATATTTTTATATGCAAAGAAAGTTATAAATGACAGATCTCAATCAATTCTTTTTTTCCCCTTTTCAAAATCTGTTCTGTGATAGACTTTAAAAGGATCAAATCATTTGCTTTAGTGTTTTGTACGTAGCATATGTTAACAGTTAACAATCGCTGATTCTTAAGTGAACAGTTGCTCTCAGCGTTGACAAGGTCGGAAATTTTGAAACTTTTGACCTTATCAATGTCGAGAGCAAGTTCTATCATCTTTTAATATCATATGGGAAGGACATACAGAGAGTTCTTACCTTGAAATATCAGCTGTTAGACAATAATACGATGAATACAGTATCAAACCGCTGTATTTCTCTCTAAAAATATAATTGATTTTAAAAATTCTAGGGGGACCAGAAAGTAATGTCGTTTCTGCGCATGTCGACAACAACATGCTAAGAACAGAAGTGGAAGCAAATCCATGTCAAACACTCTTAACAAACCTTGGTCGACCATCCAAGAACATTTAAAGCAGAATGGAAAAATAAGTAAAGCAGGTGTTTGAGTCCCCCATAATTTGTCCGAAAAGAACAAAGCCAACCTATCCATCACATGCAACGTATTGCTTCAACGGCACCATACAGAACCGTGTTTTGATCGTTTGATTAGTGGAGACCAAAAAGTCCTCTATGATAATCCAAAACTCAAAAGGCAGTTTTAATAGGGGTTACAAAGGGTTTATATCCTGTAAAGGCGGTTCTGGCTGTTTGATGGTGTATTCGCGGAATTGTTCATTTTGAATTGCTGAAACCTGGACAAACTGTTAATGCAGACCTTTATTATGAACAACTGGATGAAGTGAATCAATCTTTAATAGAAAAATATCAATTTTCAACAGGAAGGCGTCATTCTGCAACACGACAATGCAAGACCGCACTGTGCAAGACGAACACTGGAAAAAATTAATGAACTGGGGTAGGAGGTACTGCATACTCACCCACCATACTTGGCCGATATCGCAGCATTGGATTTCTATTTATTCGGATCCCTACAACGTTTTCTTAGTGGCAAAAAATTTGAAAATTTGGATGATGTCCAAAATGCCATCTCGAGATATTTTACTCAAAAACCAATTGAATTTTATCGGTCTGGGATTGAAATCGGCATACTTAGATGGCAAAAGGTTGTTGATAACGAGGGTGATTATATTATTGATTAAAAATAAAAACTTGTTAAAAATGTATTCGTTTGAATTTAATGTAAGAAAGCGACATTACTTTCCGGTCCCCCTGTTAATCGTTGAAGATAAATTTTGCGAAATAACTAATTATTTGACGCTTATAATATTTAAAATTTTCACTCGTTCAATTAAATTTGTCATGAAATTCAAACTTTGTCAAATTTTTGAAGCAAAATTATCTTTAAGATTTTGAGATGCTGTTTCAAGTGAAGTACTGCTGCGCACTCAAGTGCAGATTTATGTACTAGGAACTCGGAAGAAAAGCTTTCTTACTGGCGTATCCAATATTTGCAAATCTATGTTTACCTAAAATTTCTTACTCTGGCTTTACAAATAAAATGATTCTGATTACAAATACATTAAAGGTTTCTAATTTGACCCTGTGAGAGAATGAAGTTTGGAGAATTTGAATGAAATTGATTCAAAAAAATATTTTTAATGTTGCTGAAAATAGAATACTATAAGAAATATTTTCATATAGGTTTTAGAATCTTCGTATTTCCTTTTACTCATACAACCATTGTTTAAAAAAACGAATAATTAGATTTAAGCTAATATTAATTGAATTTCAGTATTAAACGAAAAAATAAAAAAAGAGGGCTTACTTTACTTACTTATTTTTATAATTTTATTCTTGACAACTAGACAGTAATGATATAAAAATATTAAACGTAAAATAAAAAATTATTTAAAATATAATACGATATTTCAAAAAAGTCCATACTAAGGTTTTTGAGCAATTTTATTTTTTAATTTAAATTTAAAGCTTATCAAAGACATATCGTTGTGTTTTGTCATTGACAATTGAAAATAGTAAGCTAGACTTTTGTACCCTCCCGGGGCAAGCCAATTTTTGCTTCTAAATTTTTACAGTCTGATGCCTCCTTAAATTCTCGCGAACGGGCTGGCTGCATGGGTGTTTTTGTGGTTTTCCCCATGTGTAACGTGTATACGAGCCAGTTCCCTTAGAAAGTCCTCCACGAAGGCATCCCTTTCCTTAGGCAGATAGCCCTAGTGTGCTTTGCCATAATTAAATACACCACACCGCCTCCTTAAATTCTAAAAAAATTGTCACCCGTAAATTCTGACGCCCAGTGCAACCGCACTGTTTGTTTCTGCTCTGGTTATGTTCGTTATATATTATATAGTTCATTTCGTTATCTTTGTGTATTTGCTTGAATAAAATCCTAATTATTTACATTAAAATGAATAAACCGTAAATATAATTAATTATTTTGGAAATAATTTTAAGAATATTTGGATATGTAACACTACGGAAAGAGAAATTTGGAAATGTAACATATGTTATATATATTTATAATGTTTATATGTTATTATATATTGATAATGTTCATATGTTATTATATAATGTTATATATTTATATTTACATATTTGTAATATCAGTTTATATACACAAGAGAACAACTAATTTTGGTTTTGTTTTAATAAATAGAAATATTGTAAGCGAATAAACGATATAAATGCGCAAACAGAAGGTATAAAAATTAATAAATAAATAAAGGAAAGATTTTTTGCTTCATTGAATTTTAATTTATTTCAAATTCAGGATGGAAGCTATTATATTATTTATTATCCTTTCAATCTGATTATGACTTAAAAATATGAAGGAAAAATAATGCAAGACAGTGCACCTTTACGCTTGTTGCCACTTCACTGCAACAAATATTAATTATAATGATCGTATCGAAATAATGATATCTTCTTGTACGATAAAAATGTGTTGCCGGTATCATAAATAAAAGAAGTAATAGTTTAATGAAAAATATTTTATCTATTTTTTTAATGTCATCAACCGAATATCTAAATATATCCATACAAAAGCACAAATTAACACTGAGAAAAGTTATATGCAGTAAAATGTATAAAAATGTTTAACAGTCACATTATAAATATTAAATGCAAAGTTAAAATTGCTCCACATTTTGTTTGCGAGTCAGTATAAATTTATCACGGTAACTGTATGTTGATTTTTTTCTCGTGATAATATGCATTTTTTTAATATTATAGATTAATTTATAAAATAAATCCTTTAAAAAGGAAAATAAATATATCAATTATGTTTTTGGTGAATTTTGCAAAAATCTCAGAATTAAAAAAAAAAAAAAAAAAAAAACAGTGGTTACTAACTGCAATGACAGTATAAAAGTTAAATGCTAATAAAAATGGATCGTTAACTAAAACGTGTAACAAATAATTAGTTAATATAGTTAAACTTACCGTTGTGTGTGAAATAGCCGAAGAACGCGTATCGAACGAAAAAGCACCTTAGTATCACAGTCCTTGAAAGACGAGAGAGATACAACGAACGGAATCGTGTGTCTCACGAGAATAATTCAGGCTATTTTCACGAACTTTTCTCTGTCGGGGATTTGGGAGAATTCGATTCACTTTCTTCTTGGCAGGATGACCTAAAGAGGGTTGAGCGGCAGCCGGTTGGAATTGTTTCCATGCAGCCGTTGGGAGCTTTCGCTGCTGACCTCGTTCGACTTCTGCTGCAGCACTAAATAATTGAGAAGCCGTTTTTCCCGTCGTGCACCTCGGATGTAGAGTGCCGTCCGACCAATGGGGAGAAGGCAGCTTTCAAGGGTGGGACAGACTCATTCACAACAAATGTTGCCTATCTCTAAGAAGACCCTCTCAATTTATGAATTGATGCTATAGATAAGGGAATGGATGGAGCCAATCAGAAGTAACGAGAGAAATGTCAATAAAAGATTTCCTTAGATGTAACTTAAATATATTTTATTTGCTATGAACTCCCTAGCTTTTGCTTGAAAGTGCTTTTAAGCATCCTAAAAGATGAGTCCATTATAGAAATACATATGAATTTCAGTAAAGCTAATACTCTTAAATACTATAAATCTTAGAGCACTTCAAATAATGCTAAGTTGAGAAGTCAGCATAGCATTTTTCTAGCACTTTTATTTTAAATTTATTTCATTATTTGGAGCAATTTTACCAAACAAGGTTGTTTTTACCTCTACCCCCCAAAAAAGGGGGGAGCTATTCTTATGAAAATGTCTGTTAGTATCCTAAAAAACCAGTGTTAAATTTTAGAATTATTTAATATCATGATCAAATTTTCTATGTACTAGGTCAATCATTTTCAAGATATGTTTCGAGATTCTAGGGAGATCTGTGTAGATACTCTATAAAGATTTTCGTAGAGATTCTTTAAACATTTGTACAGTTTCCAAAGATCCCAAGTAAAATCTTATGTAGTGCATATAGAATAAATTAATAGAACTCTAACCGAAAATACAGTCAGATCGATTTACAGAAAATTTTCCCATAATTTAAAATTTCTAAACAAATATCCTTGCTTTAATTTCTTATTAAAGATTCTATAGAAGCTTAATAACTTCCATGAAATGGAGGAGAAAGGCAGGGAATAAAAATTTTCGAACAGATGTGACTTTTTTTTTTTTTTTTTTTGTCTAAAAAAATTAACGCTGTTTTTATTTCGGAAAGTAAACTAAGAATAAATATATTTTAAATAAAAAGTTTTTAAATAAAATAAATAAAAGTTAAGTTTAACTAAGATTTAGAAACAATATCTGTTTCCATGGGTACGTGTAAAATTAAAAAGCATAATAAAATAAATAATAAAAAATAATAAAGTATATAATTAAAAGCATTTCAAGAATTAAAAATTTTGAAATTAACAGCATTAACTTAATTTTTTACCTAATCTTATGATTTAAACTGATACTTAGTATTCCTTTATTTATTAATTATATTATAAATTAGGCAAAATTTTACATAAATTTAGAAACCAAAAAATGTTAATCTAGAGGGAATAAGGCAAAAATGGCCGTTCAAAAATGATTCGATTCTTATGAACAAAAAGCATTTTTCTTCTGTATCCCGTATGGTACATCAAAAGCTAAATATGCTTTAAAGTCTGAAAATTTTGCAAATTCCTATAGAATATCGCACTATAAAGGCTTTATAAAATTTAATTTAATTTAATTTATCAAATTTTCTATAGAATATCATTCTGTAAAGGCTTTATAAAACTTAAAAGATATACAGTGAAAGCTTATTAATTTTTTAGAATTTTATAGAAAAGCGTTTTTATATTGGGTTGCTTTGAAAGTTCCATAGGCATTTCTATAAGCTCTATGAGCCTCTATACAAATTTTGTGTGAAGGGTAACTTTATGCCACTTGGTGAACTTTCCTAGTGGTTAGACACCAGAGTACCCGTCTCGAAGAGCTTATCTCCATCAAAAAGTATCAGCTTTCGAATTTAGTCTCGAAATAGAAGTATAGATGCTAAAATAGTCAAACTAATTAAAAATAGCACAAGGTCTTAAACTGATGGCAAGGAAAGAAACGTAAGATTTGTAGACAGAGGAGACTGCAACTCTATCAAGCTGCTTAATAGAGTACATACAATCAAGGTTTTACAGTTAGAGGCAAGTATGAGTTAATAAGGCAGCATAACAAATGATGAAAAATTTAATCCTACTGAAAGAGAAAATACAAAAATGCATACAAAGGATTAAATACTAAATGTCAGTAAGAATCACCACAAAGTGAAATACCTCGACTATACATCACAAAGTACTTAAACTACTAGTGTTCCCTGCAATAAATATTTCATCAAAAATATTTATAAACCTAAAGATTTTGTCTATTGGAGTTGGGGCTGCCTTGATTTGCCCAAGCCTTCCCGAAATAATTATAATAATTTTAATAATGGAACATTCTGTAAATGATTTCTTAATTTTAGCAAACATCTCAAATACGCAAGGGTAGCAGCAATACTCTCCGAGCATTTTTCATTTTCTTCATAGAAGTTGTTCTCCTCTTAGATGTATGAACTTAAAAATGTTATAAAATATCTCACCCGCCTTCTTAGCATGCCTGCATGGTGTAGTGGTCAACACGCTCGACGCGTATTCGAGCGTGCTAACCACTATACCGTCCGTGGTTGGAGTCCCGACGAGAGCATTGCTCATTTTTCATTTCTCCTGCTTCCAAAAATACCTAATATCTCTACAATGTTAATGTTGCACAGCTCTAGGCACCGTTCCTATGAATAAAATAAATAAATTAAATTAAAAAAAATTATGTAATGAGACATAGGTCGGCTTCGAGTTTTGCAAGCTTCTCGATAATCTGGACGATCCTTGCCACTAAATGACGTTGTTTTACCAAAAACTTGCAGAAAGCTTGTGTATTGTTACTGAGAATTTAAAGGTGGTGTTCTCTGGCAAATAGACATAATGACCAATTGAAAGAACCTATTGAAATAAAGAATTTATGACCTATTGAAAGAAATAATTAAGTATTCGACGGTATTTTCTTATTAGGATATTTCTGAAATTCGAAAAATTCATTAATCAATGGTTAAATACTAAATAACTCCTCTCAAAAATTCGTTTGAGAGGTACGGTAAGTTAAGCACCAACAAAAGTACGTAAAAGTACTATGTGTATAATAAAGGTAATACAAATCATCGACAAGAGTACTTGTATAATAAAAGTAAGAGCACATCGCATAAATTATAATACATAATAGATATATTAACAGGAGAGAAAATATATAAAAATATATCAATCTTTAAGGGAAACTTGGAAAATATTTCTTTGGAAAAGTTGTAGGAGAGCTTCACATTTACCATTCTGTGCAAACGCCTAAACCCTTTCCCATTTAATTAACGCATTCCTACTTAACTCAGCAAAGTAATTTAGCTTTTATCCAGCCGCGAGCGCAATATTTTAATTAACAAAGTAATAACCTCTTTGGAAACAGTCCGGCAGCAGACATTTATTAGATATTTATTCATCAAATGCCAGCCTGTTGGCTACTAGGTCATTAAGCTGCGTGCTCTCCAATATTTTTCAACAAGACAATTAAAATGGGATAATGCGGAGCATTAGTCAATGCCAGCAGCTGTCATATCTTGTGCAGTTGAACACAAAATACACATAGAAGAGAAGATAATATTAAAGCGAAGTAAATGGCCCGAAAAGTCGTGTACAGCCAACAGTGTAAACCTGGCCACCGCAGCTGCACAAAAGCATCTGCAAAGAGATGGGAATTGGTGCTGAGGACACTCCAAGATTTAGTGCAAGAAGAGTGAGCAGATGATATCTGAAAGGACAGTCTGATGATTATTTTGATTTTCAGTTTTGAAGTGTGAAAGAGAAAATTTCTGTTTGCTTTCTTAATTAAAGTGCAATCTCTCAAAACCGCTTTCTCATTTTCTTCAACACCTCAGTGGGATGGTACCCACTAGAAAGACGCTTTACGTTGAATTCTCTCAAGCAGAGATCAACACTGCTGGACGCTTTTATTCTCCTGATTAGACAATAAAATCTGAAGAACAGATGTTGAACCGGAGGGGAGCATATGTTGACATATTATCCATATACAAGTGCTCAAGTCCTTCCAGGGTTAGATTCAAATTAGGGTTAAGCTCGCTTTGGTCATTTTTCACAACATTTATTAAATAAATATTAAAAAAACAATTGCTGGAACACATTTTATTTTCTACATTTTTAAACTGACAAGCTAATTATCATTTAAAAATGTTTTGTTAGAGGTGGTTTGAGTAAAGGAACGCGCAGACGATAACCAACGTGTGTAGTAACTAATTTCATTACCATCAGAGAGCATTAATTCCCGAGGTAAGTGATAATCCGCTTCGTTATTAATACACAAAATGTTTTTACAATATTATACACTGGTTACAATCATTATTATTAGGCATACGCCTTCATCATTATTAGGCTTAACACCTTCGATCTTCCATTAAACTAAAAATTTAAATTATAGAACATCAATAGAGACAAGACGATCGGAACGCCACCTAACAGCGCGAGCTATCAATTTATAACAATGTGTAATACATGACAACAGGAAAATTTTTTCAGCTGATATATTATGTAAATGTTTGTAAAAAATATCTACTAGATATATTGTAAATCTCACGAATTTTATGTAATAATATGAACGCGCTTGATTTTTATAAGAGATATATGTACCAGTTTTAAATCACTTAGTTTGTGGAGGTATTCGACTCTTTATAAACAAGAATCACGAAACATTCTCAAGAAATATTAAGTACTTTCGAAACAGTTTACGAATTATTCAGTTGTACTCTCTTCGGGTTTCGAACCACGGATCTCCAACTGCTATCTGAACGTGGTAACCTCTTACCATGACAGTATACGCAGAAAAATGCCAGAATTCCTTAAAATCTCTTCACCCCCTTGAACAAGTGGAGAGAGGCGCGAGGTCTAGTCCATTAAATTCAAGTCGTAACGAGTTAGCTTACACTACATTTTAGTTCGTATGCCACGGAAGAGACTATTAGATATTGTCGAAGTGGGAAATGTCACATTTCAAATGTGCCCTTACTAGGATACAAACTGCGGATCTTCCATTCTCTAAAAGAATACGGAAGGGGGGGGGGAAGGAATGCGAAAATTCCTTGAACATTAACAAAGAACTCATATAGCTACTGTTTCACATCGCTGAATTATTCATGTTGTTCGAAA